ATTGCTCAATAAATATTCTGTAATACTGAGTTCTAGGGTTAACTGATCTGGCATACCAGGAAGGCATATTACTTTGGCGTTAGGAAACGAAGGTTGACGAAAGACTGATTTAAGAAGTTATATATATATATATATATTTGACAATGAAAATTTGAAGAAGGAATTAGAAATAAGTTAATCAGGATATTCTATTCTTTTATTGAGCATGCGTGTTTTAATTTATTACAAATGTGTGTTCACCTTACAGAAAGACACTATCATGAGAAATTCCATCTCTGCTATCCAAAAAACCTACTTCCACACTATGCTTTCTGGCTACTAGACAAGCATTTGAAGATCTGAAATTTACCACTACAATAACAACTAAACACTGATCTAAACTCCCTTGTAATTGAAGTACTTGCCATAATGACAACTGACAAGATATTGTACAATATTCTCACTAGACAATTCAAACTTGCATCAGTTTTTAATTGATGAAGTTTTGCACAGTGTAGTACAAACACACACACACTTTGTACAGTCACTGTGCAAACTGTCAGTACTTCTTTTATACCCTCACAAAATTGAAAAGTCTTGTCACCAGATGTATGAAACTTGCAAAGCTGTAATATTCCTTTGTGGGACAAAGATGCGATCTGTATTTGCAGAGTATGTTTATGTTTTACCTTCCATCACCCAGATAGTCTTGCTTCCACATATGTGTTCTTAGTCACTGAGTTGTTAACACAGTTTCAGTGTCACTATTCAAAGCAAGCTTCTCTGTAAAACTGGTCAGTATCCACCAGCAACATCTAATACAGCAGTCTTTATATAGTTTTTTTTAGACCTCTTTTGCTTCTTATTGGGATATATTGACAAAACCCCACTTTTATGTTGTACTTCAAAATCAGTTCATGTACTGCTGGAGTTTCTTCATTGTGGTTCATTGTGGAATATATGTTAGTGAAGCGATTGGAAACCCTTCTGAGCTTTCATAATTTGGACTCATTATATCTGCCAGACTTTTATTATTCTTTAAGTGATGAAGTCTTGGTGTGGTATGTGTAAAAACTGAACATATTCATGACTTTTGTGTAGAGTGGAGTATAATAATTAGTTGCCCAGTAATCCTTTATGGTGTCCTGATCATCGTCACTGTTCTTGAACAAGTTTGTAATGAATGATTTCTTTGGTATGAAAACCAGATCTCAGAGATTCTTGATGTAAAGAATGTACAAAGCAGCTGAATCATTTAATTATGTAATCCAGTATGCATGAACTCACCAGTGTTTTTAGTTGCTGTGTATAATTACTATGTTTATGTAAATTAGTTGATACATCATACTTTGTTATTTATCTCATTTTAGGAGACGGAGGAAAACTGATAAGAAGAAATTATTGAAAGAGATGTCTGAAGTTTCTGAAGTAACAAAAGAAGAAAAATCTCAAATTATTGAAGTAAAACGGACGAAAGCTGAACTGGCATTTCAGAAAATGCAAGAAAAAATGGTAAGCTGTA